GAAAGGCAATGCCTCAGACCTACTGACTTGGGTGACCAATCACCACGAAGGAAAATTCAGTGATGACAGTATATGGGGCTCAGGGTGCAAGAGGCCTGAGTATACATGCTCAGGGACTTATGGATTCACTCAGAGGCATCCCATGGCCCTGAGAGTGTCCTGTGGATGGATGGAGGACTTCTGGGGTGAGGAACCCCACTGATTACTGTATTCTGTAGTTTAGAAACAAGAGACTTTGAATATCACACAGATCCCTTCTTCTCTATAACCTGGTCACTTCTGTACTTTGGTCCTGCTAGTCACTGGCCCACTGAAGGGACCAGGGATGTAGATCACAGCCTACAGTCCAGCCTGGCCTCAGTCCACCCAGCCATTTCAGCCTCTCCAAAGCCATGACAGAATCAATCACAGAGGCCACAGCCTAGGAGAGGGAAGGAGGTACCTGGCATCCATGATGAATGGATATCTGAGGTTACAGAAGTCCTTTACACATTGCAAGATGCTTTGTGGATCTCTGGTTTTCCTCCTGGATATCAGTTCCACCCAATCCTAACAATCAAGGATGTGTCCAGACATGTCCCCTGGTGCCATGGGGATAATACACACACTAAAGGTGTGAGAACACAGGTATGTTCACCCTCAGGAATGCAGGTAGTCTGTCCCCTGACCCTTGAGAACTCAAGAAGGAGTCTAGATACCAGGACAGCCAGAAATGCTCACACTAAGCCGGGCATTGGTGATGCACGCCTTTAATCCCAGCACTCGGGAGGCAGAGGCAGGCGGATCTCTGTGAGTTTGAGGCCAGCCTGGTCTGCAGAGTGAGTGCCAGGATAGGCTCCAAAGCTACACAGAGAAACCCTGTCTGTCTCAAAAAAACAAAAACAAAGAAAAAGAAAAGAAAAGCTAACACTACTATGCTTTGGTTATGGTTTGAGTTTCTAGTAATGGAACCTTAGCCCCCAACTTGGCAACATGAAGGTAATGGGACCTTTAAGAGGTGGGACTTAGTGGGAAGTGATTAAGTCACAGGGCGCCATCTTTGGAAGGGTTGGGAGGAAACTTATTAAGTGAGCCTGCCCTCAGTCCTTCCTCACTTAGCCAAGTTTGGTACGATGGGCACTCCAGGCCTCACCAGGACCACAGAGCCAGGGGCTTTGGATGATCAGACTCACAAGTCAGATAAACTTCTGTCAAATACCCATGACCTATATATAGTTTTGCAGAAGAGATAGACTAATGTCTTACTTTGGGTTATTATTGCTGCGACGAAACACCATGACCAAAAGCATGGGGAGGAAAGGATTTTATCTGACTTCCACTTCCACATGGTAGTCCATTGTTGAAGGAAGTCAGGACAGGAACTCAACACAGGAGCCTGGAGGCAGGAGCCGATGTGGAGGCCATGGAGAGGTGCTGCTTAGCCGGCTTCCTTATAGAACCCAGGGACAGCAGCCCAGGGATAGCCCCACCCACAATGGACTAGGCCCTCCCATCAATCACTAATTATGAAAATGCTCTACAGACCTGCCCATAGCCAGATCTTATGGAGGCATTTTTCTCAATTGAGGTTCCTCTCTCTTGGATAACTAGCTTGTGTCAAGTTGACAAAACTAGCCAGCACAGCTTCACCAGACAGTTCCTGTGTTCACTGTTTCCCTGTGTGTGCCTAAAAGAGGGCCTGTAGCTACTTCTGAGTATTACATTAGGAAGGAGATGAAAGTGTTACTCTGGTGGAAACTGGTGATGGGCAAAGCACTGTGGAAAAGTGCTCAGGAGGAAGGGCATCTGAGGTTGTGGGTACAGTACTGCAGGCAACTTGTGGAGTCTTGCAATGGCACTAATGGGGTGAATGGCAAGAAAGATGTTTCCACCGGAGTGGACCAGATTGCATGAAGACTAGGAAATTGGGAAGTCTAGGCATGGATCCCTGCAGAGGCTTAGCTGAGAAGCCATGTTGGGATTGACTTTGGAAGTCCTTGCTGGCTTGGCATGCTGGCTGGCTGGCTTGCCTTGATGGCAAAGGCTGAAGAAACATTTGGTGTGGTTGTCACTAAAGCCAAAGGGGTTAAAAGGCATTTGAAGGCATTCTTGAATGTGTCTGTTGAGTCAAATCAAGACACTGAAGAATGCATGCAGATGAACTCCAGCTACATGGATGACAAGTAAATGAGATCTGCTGGAGCTGATACCTGTTTCAGGGAAGGGCACCTGCCGGGTGTCCCCCCTTCTGCTGATTCCTCAGATGCATTCCCATTGTGAGGACTTGTCATGCTGTCTCCTGATGTGTGAATGTTTGTCTTTTATAATTCAATGAAAATCTCATATAACCCGCTTCTCCCCTCCTTGCTTTAAGGCCTGGTACATGTTTGTTTATCTGTGCACAGGGCTCTGTCTATGGTTTTATTGAGGGAAAATGGGACTCTGTTCTTAAATTGCCATTTCAGAACCGATGTCCAGTTGGCATCCATTTATCTGATGTTCTACCCAGTCTGAAGTGAGTGTAATCCATAACCACTTGTTTGTCCCCAAGGCCATGGCTAGGAGAGGATATTGATTTGTAAGAGTTACTCATGCTGACCAGGGAATGGTCACTGGCCATTTAGCAAATGTCACCCAGCTGACTCAGCCTAGAGAACATTTGGTTCTTGTGGTGTCTGAGGAGAACAATAAACGCAACTCCTTCTCTCAGAGAAGTGCTTCTGGGTGTGGTCCCTACTGAAGGAGCCTTGATCTCATCTAGGAATGTGCTAAGTGCAGATGCCTCAGCCAGGCCTATGGCCTGCTCTGTCAGAAAGTCTCGAGAAAGGGGCCCAGCATGTTTCTTAGCCACCCTTCCAGATGAGTCTGATGTACATTAAATGAGAAACACAGAGCTGAGCAACAGGGCAAAAGATCAAGTAGGTGATGGATCAAGGAGGATCACCTTGACCCTGACTGAAGCTCCTTGCTGGAGTGCGCAGACCTTGTCTAGGGCAACCAGACTTCCTGTCTAACACTGAATCCCAAGGCAGGCTCACCCTCCCTGTGGTCAAGAGATGGGGGCGGCGGGGGGGGGGTAACCTGTGGATTCTATGCAGATAACCAGCTCTACCAAAAGAAAACTTGAGAAACAGGGTCCTCCCCAAACTCTCCAGTCAATGCCTCCATCTTCCTGGAAAGAAATGCAGAGCACATCCTAGGGCAGGGGCTGAATGCTCACCCCTGCGGGTTCTCTGGGGAGAAGGGAAGCCTCCCTACCCATGTGTTCCTTCATGTGCTTGTGGGGTTGGTGGTGATTAAGCCTTCATCTCCTCCCCTCTGCTGGTGACACTATAGGCTTTGGGTTTCTGAGCCATCAACTTCCAGCCCATTTGTCCAATGATGTGCAGAAGAGTCAGAAAAGTAGCTACTAGATCATGGTCAGTGAGCACCTGATGTGTTTGTTCTGTCCCTGTACATGGGGTGGATGGACAGTGAGTGCCTGAAGGGTTGTCTCTGCACTGGGGGCTGGACTTGATAAGCTCTGATTTGTTTCGGCATTTGAACATAAACACTTTTAATCCTCCTGGCTCTACTGTCCATCTGTGCCATCCAGCCATCTTCTGTTTAATATTAAAAACAGGCAACTTCTTTCCCTTTTCCAAGATGACACATTACAAACAAAGTAAATGTAGAAATGGAGGCGTCAGACTCACTCCTCCCATCCAGGAGCCCCTTTTACAGCAGAGGAGTAGGAAGCCCTGGCTGGAGCAATTGGTCCAAGGTCTAGTCACTAATTCCCACTCATTTATAGCAGAGTACACACTACAGGCTCCCGTCTTCCCACCCCCTGAGGAAATCCTTAGGCCTCTGCTTGCAGGAAGCCTCTCCATGGGATTACCCCTCACCCCACCACAGCCATCTCTTCTCTGATGGCTTCTGCCTGTGCAAGTCACTAGTCACTGCCAGAAAAGCTGCTCAGAAAGGTAGCACTGGCTGTGGAGAGCAGGCTTTCCTTTGAGCAGAAGACTGGAGTCTCTGGAGTCTGCAAAGAGGTGAGATTAAGGACGGCTGTGACACACAGTCCTGCAGCACTGCCAAGGTTCAGAACTCACAGCCTGATGACTCCCAGCTGCTTCCAGCCCCCAGTTTCCCCCCCTTTTAAAACACAAAAAGTAGTAGTCTTTCAAGGACTCTGAACCCTCCCTTGCCATAGTGTGTTTCAATATGGGGCCCAGCATATCCTTGCTTTCTGACTGAATGGTTGTGTGCCAATTTCTGTTTATGACCAAGGCCTACTGAGAAACATCAACAATTTGATAAGACAGCACCGCAAAGCATGATTATCCTTTAAGTTATAAAAAAAATGCTGATAACAAAAGACCTTGAGTGTGTGTGAGGACAGTGTTAATAAACATTTCTTGGTAGTAAACAGTATTATGTTAGATAGATAGATAGATAGATAGATAGATAGATAGATAGATAGACAGACAGATAAAGGGCTGTCTGCTTGTGTGTCCTCTGTATTGCCTTGGTACCTCTGAAAACCACCGACCAATTAAAAAAAAAAATTCTAACGTGGCATTTTTTTTTGCGTGGTTTTATGAAAACCCTTAAAGTCTACCTTTGTGCCTGGCAAGTACCTGTCACATTCACCACATTGTTGCAGCATGGCATATTCTTAAGGTGACAGTTTGCAATGTGACTCAGCTATCTGAATAGTCACCCTAATGTCAGATGGCTGAGTCACACTGCAAATTGTCACCCAATGCTTCAGTCCTTGCACATTCAAACCTCCCCCAGCCAGGACCGGTGCCATCGCATGAATTACTAATGCCGTGTCGTGTCCTAGCTCTGCTACCAAACCTCCTCATCCTTTCTCCAAATGCTGGCTTGCTTCTTAGTAACGCTCACTTGGTGAAAGATGAGAAACTCAGATGGGTCAGGTAAGTCCCAGTGGCCAGCAGGGCAGTGTCGGTAAAAGGGTGACCCTCACTGTCTGCCACCGAGGTGCAAAACGAAGTGGGAATCCAGGCACCAGATGATGTTAGAATATATTTATTGCTACATTTATATACAATTATACAAACAGCCTAGACAGGAGGGGGTATGCCATATCGGTTTCTGCAGATTCCACAGGAGTATACACAGAGGGAGATGCCTGCCACCAAGACTGCTCTTAAATGAAAGCCAAAGATAAGTCACATACATTTTTTAAAAAGTGGAAAAGTCTTGATAATTGTCCCCTTAGATTCCATCTTATGAGCTAGTCATGCAGAATAATATTAATAATAATAATAAAAAGCAGGGGTGGGATGTTCAGGGGGATTTCCAGAAGCCAGTGCCTTCCAGCATCTGTTTGAGAAAATGGCATCTAAAAGCGAAGCTCAGCAGATGCTAGCTGGCTAAGGACTGCAGGGTCGGCAGACATCCCAAGTCCTGGTCCATCTCCTGAGGTCTGTTCCTAGGAAAGACAGTGAAAAAGTATAGGAAAGAGAATAACAGCAAGAGGAAAACCAAAAGCAAATGGTGTGTGTGTGGGGGGGTAGTATCAGCAAATGCCTCAGTTGATGAGGACTAGTCCATCCAGTTGTCCCGGAGCTACTAGAGTTTGGGGGTAAATGCATTCAAGACCCAGGGCTGTCTCAGTACATCCTTAGTCTAAAGCTCATCATGGGTCAGCTGCCAGGGACCTGTACAGACAGATGATGGGAAAGTCAGAAGAGAGAACAAGAAGAAATTTTAACATAAACATTACCAGGAAGGATTTCAAAGGGCATGACCCTAAAATTGGTGTTCAGCACTGTGGGAATGTTCCGGGGCTGTGCAGGGGCTGGAATGCTGTGGAGGAAATGCCAGGAGGCGCAGGCTGCTCTCTGACCCCATAGCAGCCAGAATTGTTTGGGGCCTCAAAAGAAATTAGAGCAGCAGGTTTGGGAACATTCTGACCCCAGAATCATGAAATGGATGTAAAATTACAGTCTAAACATTCTGCCCATCACGTCACGGTCACAGACATCTCTGGTATGGGGAAGTGGGGGTGGGACGAGGAAGAGAACAGCCCAAGGAGTGAGCTCACCTTACTGACATTAGCTCCACGTGGCACATACCTCAGGTCACTTCATACTTCAGGGAACCCACACAGACAAGCCTATGGTCAAATCTGACCCAGGCCTTTTAAGCAAAACTTAGCCCAGGGCTTTGCAGAGAACCCAAAACTTGAATTTTGAGAACAGGAAGCCAGTCATCCACACTGTGGCAGCAGATTAGTCATATTTGGCTCTAATCTAGCCCTAAGACTATCGAGGCTCCACCACATAGCAAAACAGCCAGCCAGTTCCTGTCTGTGGCTTTGGATGCCACCTCCAATTTCTTGCCAGCAGAATCCCACAGGTAGGCAGGGTGACAGGTAGTTCTGGAGAGACACCCCAGAGATGGAAGAACTAGGCCTGAAGGACAACTAGTCCGTTTCCAGTGACAATAGACTGTGGAGACCACAGCCCTTCCAAGGCTGACAGCTATATGACATTTCAAGCTGAACGATGCAGCCGCTGCCAACTCCCTTGTTCCTTTCATGAATTCATTTCTGGATAATTCAGAATCTATCACTAGAGCTTGGCTGCTCTCCTGAGTCAAACTGACAAGAGCTCAGAGGCAGTCTCCCCAAAGAGCACAGGTATTAACAGGTAGAGGTCACTGAGAAAGAGTAGAACATGCAGCCTATTTTCAGCTGAGGTTTTTGCTAATCAAACAAAATAGGATAATGAATTTCTGCTCTGGAAGACAGGGTTTCCGGATGAAAAGCCATGGAGAGTATTGTTTGCAGTAATCTGTGAATGTTTAGGCTGTGCTTCCAGCAGAGATTTTAGTTTAATTCATTAATTTACTTATTTATTTTTGCCACAGTGTTTATTCTGTGTAATAGCCCTGGCTGTCCTGGAACTTGCTTTGTAGACCAGGCTGGCCTTGAACTCAAGATCCACCTGCCTTTGCCTACCTGGGATTAAAGGTGTGGCCATCACTTCCCAGCCATCAGAGATTTTTTGTTCAAAGACCAGGAATAAAAATAGCTTAATTTGCCCTTCTCTCTTCCTCCTGGTCTCTGCTCTGGAGTCGCCATGTGATCCACTGGCAAGTGAGGGTGCCAGCAGAAGGCATCCTCTATAAGTCTTATAAAATATATAGATTTATGATAATTAAGACTGAGCAAACAGATGAGAAATCCTAGTCTTTGGCCAAGCAGCATTTGAACCTAATATAAGTCTCTGTATATTATTTGGGGCCTTAACTTGGCAGGCAGAACTCGGGTGGCTGGCGGAAAGCGCCCACGTGGTGGTAGGGCTCTGGTGGCTTTTGGTGGAAAGATTTATTGTAACAGAATGGTGTCAGTGAGCGGGATGACTCCATGCCCTAAGGTTCCCAGAGGAATAAGGAAACCTGCTGCTGCAGCCGGCCCTGTCAGACCACTGAGAGGCATCGGAGCAGTTTCCATATGCTCGCATCTTCCCTGGGCTCTTGGGGGTGGACTCCCAAGATGGCCTGCAGCCCTGGTGAGTTCTAGGGTTAGGATTCTGAGCTCTCACCGCCGCAAGCTGCCTTCCTGAGACTAGTCAAACAGCGGCAGAACACGGGCAGCTGGAGGTAGTATTACGAACTTCCATATAAACTTCACAAAAGCTTAAAAAGGGACTTTAGCAGCAAAAGATCAGAGACAAGCATGACTTCTTGTTAGCAGCATTTTCTTGGGTGGTCTCTGTTTTGCAAGAGACAAGCAGAGACTCGAGTGGTTGCTTTAAGAGAGATTTCCTGACTCAGCAAAAGCGGAAAAAACTAAAGGACTCTTTTTTTAAGAGGCCCCGCTAGCTCAATAGGCAGAGCACGAGACTTCTCATGTGGGTTCGTGCCCGATGCAGCTGGCAGTGGCAGTGACCACATCTCCAAGCTGGTGCCATGCTCCTTGAAAGACAGCAGCTAAGAAAGCTGCCACTTTAATTTTGACGGTTTTGTTTAACAATTAAAAGACTGGTGGCCAAAATAAGGTAAAGATTTACAGTAAAGACAGATCTAGAAAACAAAAACAGAAACAAAAAAAAACCTCTAAAGGTTTAAAAATATATGTAGGCTTGTGAGAGAAAAAGTAACAGGAGGAAATAGAGTAGCTGGGTGTGGTAGTGAACATCTTTAATCCCAGCACTCCAAAAGCAGAGGCAGGCGGATTTCCACCCTGTCTCAGGAAAAAAGAAACACAAGGAAGTAAAAATAGAATAATAAAAAAAGCCACCTAAAGATGAAAAATACACAGAGAGTCTATATACTATATTCTATATTGTGTTCTTTAAATTGTTTGATTGCCGTGGAAAGAGATACTGCTGCTAAAATACATTTGATTATAGATACTGCTAAAATAATACAACTTATACATTCTAAAAGTGCTTTGACTTCAAAATTTAAGTCTAAGGACAGGCTACTTGGGAAGAAAGTTTTTGCTTGTGTTTCCAGAGAAAATGAAAAGCTGTGGATTCCTTCCAGATTAATATGGTTTGATCAAGCAAGACCCCCTGAAGCAGTGACCCAACTGATCCTACATCCAACACAGCTGAGATGATGCAGCATTGCAGACAACAAAAACAAGGACTTGGTCAGATTTCTGTGTTTTATCATGATCCCCAAGGTACAGACATTGCCCCCAATCAGCAGGAAGCAATTTAGAATGAACGACGCCCAAATTCCCAAATATTGTTTATAAATGTTTGTTTTCATTTAAATGGGTTTGGTTATAAATGGTAATGAGCATAGTCAATCTCTTTTTTTTAAAAGGGGGAGAATAGGATATAGGAATGAATACTTTGCATTGGTATGGATTTTCATTTATTGATACAACTTTAAGGTCAATTTTGTGATATGTATATGTCTCCTCTTGTTAAGGTATTGTCTTTATACATATCTTTTAAAATGATATACACAATTAAATACAGGTTATAGTCACCTAAAATAGTCAGAACTTATAGGTAGGTTAGTTAGGTTTTCTAGATATACAGAGATGTATTTGAGAAGGATATTCTTCAAATCTTTCAAAGACCTACAGAATTATGGTATTTAAATGGTTTAGGGTTTTTCTTGGCAGTGAGACACAAATGCTCCTGGCATACCAATTACGTCAGAAAGGAGGATGGGCATCAAAGAAACTCAATATGGAGTTTGCCTTCAACATGGCAAGATTAGCCATTTGGGCAAGAAACTGCTCTTGATTGGACTGTTTGTTGCTATATAAACTGGATTTACAGGACCCACAAGAAAGTGATTGCTGAACTTACAAAACAAGACAGTACTGAAGGGTTCCTGCTGAAATGGAGAAGTGTGCCAGACACACTGTGGCCTATAGGCTGAAGATGGATGCCCCAACGTTACAGAGGAACTTTGGGTGACTGTCCAGGTAGCAAGATGTCTCTGTCAGTTCTAGAGTTTATATATTATCCTTCTGTGGTCTTTGATAGAGTTGAAGACAGATCGTTATGGTTATAATTTTCTTCAGTTATTTCAAAGATAAGTTATCCTTCTTTTTATTTAGACAGAAAAGAGGAGATGATGGGGGGAAGTGCTTCTGTGTATGTGTTTGTCTTACTGGATGACAAATAAAGTACTGTTTGGCCAAAAAAAAAAAAAAAAGAATAGCTGAATTCTATGAATTTACAATTGGCCACACCCCCTTCAAAATGAGTGCGAGCATAAATAAGTACATGGCAGCCTTCAAATTTACTTTCAAACTATGACAGTTTCAATGGTGTCAAGAGGTGTCCGAGAGTCTAGTGTGACCCGCACCTCACTCCAGAGAGCATAAAATTCTAGGCTAAGGAAGTCATTTTTAGACTTCCTCACCTTGTATGAGCACATGGCATCTGTTCTGTCCCATGTAAGGGGTTCTAACCGACATGTCACCGGGGTGGGTCCTGTGTCACATCTTCAAGCATCACTGCATCTCTGTGACTAGGCAGGTAAAATCTTGGGAAACTCTCCTAGAAAGTTGGGGGAAACTCCCCCTGGATCATCATAGTTACTAAGATAAACCACAGTGCTATGGCATCATCTACAATTAGGGTCACAAGAGTCTTTGCCAAAGACATTCAGTAATTTTCTAGCAATCTGTTGTTACCATGGTAAAAATAATCTTTAAATATAGCCAGACCGAGGGAGGTGCACAATATTTTATTAATAAGGCTGACAGACCAGTTCTTTGACCTTCTGACTCAACACGCATGTACAACACTTCACGGTTAAATCACAGCTGTGACTTTAATACCCCGACAAACTGAAAGTGTCACATGTTAGGGCACACTCTAACAGCTAGAGCTCTCTCCCTCATCCAGAGTCTCTCACAAGTGCAAGAGAATGTCCTACCTAACGTAGCACTTACAATCAGTTGACCGAGGTCTTAGATAAAAATCACATTTTCATAAACTTGCGCTGACAGTACAGTGATTACAGTGGAAGGTCTGGAAGATGTCAGGATGGGGCAGGATGGGTGCTGCGGTGCACTCTGGCTCAGCTCCTTCATCTGTACAGTAGAAGGCCCTAGGAGGTCCCCCAGGATCTGGGCACGTCTCCTTCGAGCGTGGGCTCACCCCATGCTGCCAGCTATACTCACCTCATGAGGACGGAGGGCTCCATCCTGTTACATATGCTTTATGCTGCTTTGGCAAGAGCGCATCTGGAACAGTGCATACAGTTTGGGTCCCCACCTTTAGAAAGAGACATCAAGAGGTTAGAAAACATGAATGCAGAGGGCACAGGAGGAAGCAGGGGACAGGGGTTCAGACAGCAGGCTCGGCAGTTTAGAAGCAAGGAAAATCTTTCTTAGCTTGGACTATCAGAGGGCCAACTGGGGAACTCAACTGCTAACCTGATCTCCTTTCTAACTCTTCTTAAAATAAACCTTTGAAACTCTACTAGTGGAACATGGAGAGAAGAATGCCTCGGGATCCCTTTGAAGCAAGTGCCAGGGTTCTCTAAGAACTGAGGAACTCTCCCCAGACTAATTAGTTTCACAGCAATCATGGCTCTAAAGCCATACACATCGAACTTAATCAGTAGGTGACCTTGGCTTACTGGGTAATTAAGAATGACCTCGAACTCCTTATCTTCCTGTCTCCACCTCTTTAAGTGCTGAGGTTATAGGTGTACATCACCATCTTGTTTCATGTGGTGCTGGGAACAGAACCCAGGGCTTCCTGCAAGCTAGTCAAGGGCTCTTAACCGAGATACATCCCCAGACTGGATTTTCTATATTATTTTACAGACTCTCCTGTGTTCTTCAGGTAACAACCAGCCTACTGGACCTAGAAGATTTTGTGTTGATGATTAAAAATTGAAAGGTGAGGACATTTTAAGGAGATTTGGAGCATTTGGAGGATGTTAATGGTTAGCAGAACTAACACTGTGTGGTACTGAATACCCTTTCAAACGTATGGGTAGTTCTGTTTTCTTTGGTTGACAGTTCTGTGGTTTCCTCCTCCAAATTGAAGAAGGCTTAGATTGGTGAAGAGACAAAAGGGAAGGAAAGCAAAGGAAGGAAAAGAATGGCTTTTAGACAAAAGAAGAATGTTTAGACAAAGAAGAATGGTGAGTGAAGAGAAAAAGGCACCAGAAGACAAGAGCCAATAAAGGAAGCCCAGAGTGAGAGAGCAGAAATTCCCAAGATTGCCAGCAGGTGGCACTGTGAGATTACACTACTTTGAAGAAGGCATCCTCTGAAGGGGAGAGGGTGATACATACTGACCAGATGGGCAGGATAGTCAGAATGCAGGTGGCTCAGGACTTGTGATGCACCGGCCATGGCCATAGCTAGGACATACGTTATATCAAATTATTTCAAACACATACATTGCTTTAACAATATATATCTGTTCATCTAGTTTGGAAAATTAACCAAAAATTTTTGAACACAGTTACCTCAGTATAAACACGAATTACATAGAATCAGTTTGAAACCCTCTTTTTTTATTTTGTAAATGAACCTCTTAGCAAAATATGAGTAAGCCTATAAGGAATTTCCATTAATCTGGTAATGGTCATGTCCCCAAACCTAGGACACAGAGTGGTATCATGTTAGAAACATTGATCTCAAGAGAAATGAGATACCAACATTTGGCACTGGATT